ACTAAATGAACAACCTTAATCTTTTCAAATTATTTGCCACATATTTATCCTTTGAATTTCCTTAAAGTAATACCGAAATCGTAATATTTACCAATTGTTTTAGATGCCGTCTTATAACATTTTTTTTTATTGACAATACTGACTTCAAATAAATTGCAAGCATACAATTCTTTGTATTGGTGTGAATGTTTTCATAAATGTAAGATTACTTTTATCAAGGAAAAAGTTTCTAAATCAGTTTCCAGCTTTGCTTTCCTGCTGAATCCTTGTATGTTTTTAATGGATGTTTAATTGTATTTACTTTGTGTTTGTATATATATATATGATGGAAATGAAATATTGTTTAGTAAGATCAGGGCATTAAACAAATGATTCCTAGATTCATAGATAAGTCCTATTATTTTTTACGATTACGTGATTTTTTAAAATCAAACTGTAACATTCTTTTTCAGTGTAAAATAACACAAGACAAAAAGTAAACTAAATACCAGAACAAAAAAAAAAACAGTAAAGGCTGGTGAAAAACATAAAGACATACACAAGTTGTATTGTCGGCTTAAACGAGTCCCTACAGGAAAACAAAAATGTTTTTAAACAATCATGTTTAAGATAGTGTATAGATCCACATAGCTGTTAAAATATTTCTATTTACCTTTTTCTAGTTATAGAATGTTCATCTTTTTCATTGTTTGGTAATGTTACTGAATAAAAAGATTAGTTGTACAGTTGGTACTAAATATTTTTATAAGTGTAAGACGGGGGGAAGTGAATCTATATCTAATTTCCAATATATGTAATAAAAGCTTAAAAATGTTAGTAAAAACCAAACTGCACTAAACAGAGACTAAAATAAGAGATACACTAAATGAACCTGCAAGATGAACATGCTGGTAAAGAATAATATTACAGGCATATATGTAATAATCAAATGTAACAAGTGTAATTAAAATAAGTATAAAAAAGTCTTGAATCATATTTAAAACCGTTGAACAAATTACCACTGTATATTATTAGATCATTTATTTACATATTCGGCATTTTGGGTTGTTGTCACATTGTCATCGCTCATTTAATTTATATAGACAAGTAACCAATCAAATACGCTTGATTATATATTAAAACATTTTCAATATTGCCGTTTTGGGCGTTCTTTGATAAATCTGTTTTCTTTTTTATATGCCCGAAAGAATTTCGGGCATATAATGTTAAACCCCAAGCGTCCGTCCGTCCGTTAGCAATTTGGGTTCCGGAGCATAACTTAAGTTCCATTTGGCCCACAATATTCAAACTTCATAGGATGATTGTCCATATTGGGAAGAAGACCCCTCTTGATTTTTGGGGTCACAAGGTCAAAGGTCAAGGTCACTATTACCTTAAAACTGAAACAGTTTCCGGTTTGTTTGTTTGTTTCATTTTACGCCTTTTCCCAACAGTATTTCAGTCATATAGGTGGATTGTTTCCTAACCATCGTTCCTGGATAGTTACACCAGTACTAGACTACCTTCCTCCGCGCTAAACTGCCAGTGTCTCCCGGGGATCGAACCCACGCAAGAGAGGTAACTGGATTAGAAGTCATCGAATAACTCCTCGACCACGGAGGCGGTTACAGTTTCCGGAGCATAACTTAAGTTCCATTTGCCCCACAGTGTTCAAACGCCATAGGATAATTGTCCATATTGGGTAAAATACCCTTATTGAATTTTGGGTCACAAGGTCAAAGGTCAAGGTCACTATTATTTTTAAACTGAAAACAGTTTTCGGGGCATAATTTAAGTTCCATTTGGCGCACAGTATTCAAACTTCTTAGGATGATTGTCTAAATTGGGTAGAAGACCCTTATTGATTTTGGGGTCACAAGGTTAAAGGTCATGGTCACTATTACTTTAAAACTGAAAACAGTTTCCGAAGCATAACTTAGATTCCATTTAGTCCACAATATTCAAACTTCATAGGATGATTGTCCATATTGAGTAAAAGATCCCTATTGATTTTGGGGTCACAAGGTCAAAGGTCATTGTAACCAATACTTTAAAACTGAAATCAGTATCCGGAGCATAACTTAAGTTCCATTTGACCCACAATATTCAAACTTCATAGGATATTCGTGCTTATTGGATAGAAGACCCCTATTGATTTTGGGGTCACAAGGTCAAAGGTCAAGGTCTCTATTACCTTTAAACTGAAAACAATTTCAGTTCAATAACTTATGTATTAATCAACCTACAGCTGTAATATTTTATAGGATGAACAGCCATGTCCAATACATGACCCCTATTGATTTTAGGGTCATAAAGTTATAGGTAAGGGTTTAAATGATGTTTACACTGAAAATTATGGTTTCTGGAGCATAACTTATGTTCCATTTGGCTAACAGTGTTCAAACTTCATAGGATGATTGCCTATGTTGAATAAAAGATCCATATCTATATTAGGGTCATAAGGTCAAAGGTTAATACCAAATGACTTTAATATTTTTAATAGTTTTACAACTGTCGAACTTCATAGGATGATCACTTATATTAAGTACATTAATTATATGCCCTAAAAATTTTGCTTATATTATGTTTTACCCCTGGCGTCTCCGTCCATCCGTCGTAGCCTTTTTACTTACAAGATAACAACTTGATGGCGGTGCTTTGGAAACAGCAACTGTATATATATATATATATATATATGAAGGTTCTTCATCTATAAAGTAGGATTGCTTTTTAAAGGAGGTTATACTAGTACTTTATTTAATTCCCATGTCTTACAAATGCTTCATCCTTACTAAAAAACACTTACGGGCATATAATGCTCCGCCTAGCGGTGCTCTTGTTTGATTTTTCACCTATCTTGTTGATATTTGTTGAATTAAGTACAAACTTGCATCCCGCATTTTTAAGCATTATTTTGTTCATGAATAGTACATACAAAAGGAGAAAAGAAAACAATAACATCCATATCAACAAAATATTGATTATGATTAATTTCATTCAAATATTGATGGAGTTATAGTAACATTAAGACACAATATTAATTCTCTAATAAAACAGAGTCTCCACAACATTTATTTATGAAAATTAGTGAGTAAAATGACGTTCTTCCATTTCTTCAACATAATTTCAACCATAACACAATCAATACTGAAAGGCATAGCAGAGTATGTCATGAAGATGTTTATGTCTACAAGCAATAATGTCATTTCATAAAGGTTCTCACTAATCGCCCACTCACTCGACCCTAATTTGTTTGGTATGCTCGCCAGGCCACGAATTCTTATCAAGAGAAACGTTGTTAAAATTCCATATTTTGTTTATAGATTTTCATTTATGTTTGACATTACATTTCCTTTGTTGTATGTGTTACAAGTTTAAACACGTGTCATCTTTGATAAAAATTCAGCTCCATATATACCATATTTTCGTACCATATTTATTGAAGCTTGTTCAAAGCGTGTGTCTCTGCAATTTTCATGTTGTTTGTGATTTATGCTTCCGAGGGATCACTTTGTTTCTTGATTTTTATACTTAACAAAAGCAGGTGTCAAGTGCCGAGTGGCAGCTGTAAAATATTACCCCGTACTTCACTTCAATGTTGTTATATTTTCTGGGCAACCGAGATCATTGATGCCAGCACTATAAAAGTGCAGAGAATTGAGAACCGCTCAAGTCGGTACTAAGGGATGTGAGGGATGTTATTGCACTTATTCACTATTCCACATGTACAGAAATGTAATGCTACCAAGGGATCACTTTGTTTCCATATTATTATTATGCCTCCTTTCGCAGAAAAAGGTATATATTGATTGACAAATATTGGTCGGTATGTCGGTTGAATACTCCAGTGCTCGGTAGACCAGTTGGTTTCCGCGCTATAAACTGAGAACCATTTGATCTATAACCTTCTGAAAATGCCATTCTTTTTGGTTTTTTGTGTTTTTTTTTTCTTTAGGGGGGGGGGGGGGTAACCGATGTGTTTTCGTTCAATAACTTGAGAATTTTTCTGTATTTATAGCCTTCAGACTCTATAGGATGATCAAACCCCACCCCCTTTAATTGAAGACCTCTATTTATTTTTTTCTCTTTTTTGCGCCGGTCCATGAAGGTCAAAGGGACAATGACTAGCTTAGGGTGACCTTTTATAATCGTTGAACACTCCTATTGTTGACGGGCGCCGAATGTTATGAAGTGTCTGTTCAATGAAAAAAAAAAAGAATGTGAAAACGCTATGGTGTAGGCGTCTAAATATATTGACATTTCTGTTTTGTTTTGAACTCATCTGGACTAGCTTAGGGTGATCTTTTATAATCGTTGAATATCCATCATCTGTCGTATATCGTCGTTCGTCCACATTAGTTCGTTAACATTCTACTCAATTGTCATCAAACTTAGTCAATATGCTCTTCTAGGTAATTGCTCAAATGAGTTTGAACATGGATCATCTAGGATGAAAAACTAGGTCATAGGAGCTAAAAATAGAAAACAAAATGTTAACACTTTAACGTATAGACTTGAAATTTGGAAGTTGGGTGTCATTTCTGATGCCAAATTGAATTTTGATATCAGCTGACCTACTTTGCATATAATTGTTATCATTTTACCTCTTTTCTCGTTTTTTGACATTCATATTTGAAATTCGGACGAGGGGTGTAATATTTTATGCTGAATTGATAAATTTGATATCAGCTGACCTACTTGTTATATTTTTGATATCGCTTGACCTACAATGAAATGATGGATCAGGTGAGCGATCTAGGGCAAAGCTGGCCCTGTTGTTTTTGTATTAAGGAAATAATCATGACATTTGAGAAAAAGTAACATTTTTATATATATAATAATATCTGCCGTTTCTTTTTTGTGTTGTTATAATAGCTCATAATGTTTTGTATTTGCATAAATTGAGTTTTGAAATAAACTTTTGAAACTTTAAATTAGATAACTCACGTCGATGCGTAAATGAATATACACCGCTAGATGTTGAACAAAGTCAAGATGAAGGGATTGGATTATCATCAATCATGGAGGAACATGGTGAGATTAATCTATTTACACCGAATTTAGGAAAACATAATCAATTGAACTCTTTGATAATTGAAAAACTCGTTTCTACTGTTACTGTACATTTAATGTATAAGGCATCTTTCTCAAACGTAAACACGTCTTAATTCTTAATTTATCTAGTTAAAGAAAGGATTTTTACAAGTTAAATTTCTCGGAAATTTTGGTTGCTCTGTAATATTGGTTGTTCTGTAAACCATGCCCACTGCGATAAAATATTTTACACTGCTTAAACAATTTTCTTTATAATATCTAGTAAAAAGTTTATTCTACATAAGAATTTTCTGTGTTATAAATTGCATTCTTAAAAGTTTTATGCGAAAAAATAAGACGTTCAGGAACACTCGTGTGCATAAGTCACCAAAAATTCCGAAGGTTTCTGATACTCTCAGTACATTATGATCAGTAAATGTTCCTGATATTATATCATTATTGATGCGTTAAATTGATATGAATTTCATATTCTCCATACATTTTTTTTCTGCTCAATGACTAGAAAACTATTTGACCCATAGCCTTCAGACATCATAGGATGCTCCATCTTATTGAGTAGAAGACTCCGATTGTTGGAGGACGCCGAGTGAAATAAAGTGTCTGTACAATGAAAAAAGAATACGCAAACGCTATCATGTAGATGTCCAAATATATTAATATCTGTTTTTTTGTTTTAAATTAATGAAATAATCGTGACATTTTAGAAAAGGTAACATTTTATACATTATGTTCTCTGCCTGTTCTTTTTTATGTTGTTTTACATGTTTATACTATATAAATTCTGTTTTACATGGTATATGTGTTGCATGAGTTTTTGAAATAAATTTTTATACTTAAAATTAGATGACTCTTCTCGATGCGAAATTGAGAATACACCACTGCTAGCTGTCCGATGCGAAATTAAGAATACAACGCCGCTAGATGTGGAACTAAATAAAGACGAAAGGATTGGAGTATCATCGCTAGCGGAACCTGGTTAGATTAATCTATTTACAGCGAATTAATTGATAAAAATTTAAAAAGGAATGCATAATCAATTGAACTCTTTGGTACTGTAAAAAAAACTCGTTTCTATTGTAAATGTATAAGGCATCTTTCCAAAACGTTTTTGTTTGTTTCTTTGGATTTTTACGGCACGTCAACACATAACTGGCCATATCGTGCTGAATGCTCTAATAGGCTTAAAATGTTATGTAAAACTTTGTAAATGACAATGAAAAATGAGCCATTTAGATCCTAGAATACAAGTTTATCTGTTTTAAATAATCAATGATATTATTTAATGGAATTGTATTAAAGAGTTCTTTGAGTGAATTTACACAATAAAATCTATTACGGGCCTGTTAAAAAACCATGACATTCAAGAAGAAAATGCTTTTCTAAAACGTATACACGAGTTAATTTTTCAATTATCTAAAAGGAGTTTAGGAGAGGATTTGTACTAGTTAAATTTCTCGGACTTTGGGTTGTTCTGTAATTTGGGTTTTTCTTTAAACCATGCTCCCTGTGATGGAATAGTTTACACAGCTTAAAATTTTTCATATGATATCTAGTGAAAAGTTAATGCTACATAAGGTTTTTTCACTGTTATAAATTGCATTAAGATTGTTTTCCTTGATTGGTTCAGAATATAACTTTAGAAACCAACTCAAATGCAGATAATAAAGGTTATAAAACTTTGTTTATGTTTTCTTTTGTTGAAAAAATATAGTTATTCATTTACTTTCTTTTTTGCATATAATCATGCTATGGATGAGGAGCGAAATGCGAAAGTCTGAAAAATAAAATTTCAGGTCCTGTTAAAGTCCTATAATTTTTTGAGAGTTTGGACTTCATTATAAATATATGGCTTAACAATGAAGTTCTATTATTGCAATACTTAAGAAGTACCCTTAAACGATGAAATATAGAAAACATACGGTATCACGATGTTTACAAATTGGTAATTATTATCTTTGAAAAAAGCTCTGATGAATAAAATGTAAAATTGATGTTAAGTTATTAGGGTTGTCAAATTGCGCATGGGAATAACCTATAATTATATGAGTAATAGACAGAATTCTTCAAAATCAAGGCATTTTGAGTATTGACACTGCCCTACAATCAAGGCATTTTGTGTAACGCTACTTCTTTAAAATCAAGGAATTTTATTTTACCACACCTTTTCGAAATCAAGGCATTTTGAGTAACGACACTTCTGCCTATTTATCCAAATGGCTATTTCGCGATTTTTTTTAAACTAATTTAAAAGCATACCTAAATTGCATAAAATAGTTAATAAATGTGTAAATGTGTGGAACATAAAAAAGTCCACAGAGTGAAGCTATTCATTTCTTTTGTGTACAATTTTCATTTTTTGTCCGTGTTCTTTTAAAATGCATTTTGGGTAAGCTTATCATTCGTCAGTTGGAAACGTTTTTGTAAGAATTTCACCTAACTTCTTCGCAAAGGGTTAGTATAAGTAATATCTTTCACATATTTACTTCGGATTGTCATGGATCAAAAAAGTGTGTAACTTCATCATCTTTAGGGAGACAATTGTTAATTAATTCAGAGGTTTGCAAATAAAGTCAGAATTTTGGTCGGCATGGGTTTTAAACTTTTTCAATGGTTTTCATTTAATGGAAACCATGATTTTCATGAGATGTTAAAACTGGACTAGGATTTTGAAGCAATTTAACAAAAAAGTAGATTGATTTTTCAATAAATGAATTAACAATAGCTCTTTATTTATAACCAATGTCAAGTAGCTGTAATATCTATGACTCGCATGAACATGACGTTAGCGAATTTTCTCATATCTGTCTGAAATTCAGGTAACAGTCTTCCATTGATAAATAATGTTTCACTATATCAACATGCCATGCAAATTTATCCATGATTTTGAATGCACCATTATTTACATTATTTATGTTAACGCGTATAACAAACACATCCTGAATTTGGTCTTTTTGGAATTCATCACAAGTTTTTCATTCTAGTGTGTATTTATCTGGGACTTAGAATAACTCCCATGTATTAAAAGAAATTTAATTTAATTTGACATGAAAAAAATGCATGTAATATTACTAAAAAAGTCCCTTTTAATGCTATTTTATATTATGTTTGTATATATTTGTTACAATCATAATAATAAAAACAGACTTTGTTCATTTTTTTTACTACTGTTTTGTATGTTCAAAAGAAAATACATTTAATATTTTATCTCTAGCAAGCCTACCAAAGTCCATGATGAACAATGTCTTTCGTCCGCCCAATCAATTATAACATGTACGGTTTTGGTAAAATCTAATTAATCATTGAAAAGTTCATAAGTATATCTTTTCATCAGATGCCTACTAGGTCGTCGTCACTTGCTGTATTTCTTGCTTGGATGCCCTTTGATAATGTACACTAGTACTTAATCTAAATAGAAAACGACCTATGCGCAGGAATGATTTGGACAATATATGTAATGAGGGGATTTTTTGCACGGAGCTTCTCATTTGCTGCATTGCAGCAACATTTGTACTTGTGTGATAGAGGTTTTTGTTGGTTCAGAAACTGACTTTAGAGAAATACTCAAATTGCACAGAATTAGTGATAAAGGTATGCAATTTATTTTCCTGATGTTGTACAAAAGTGTTGCTTACAATAAAGTTATTGTTTTCTTTATTTTTGTGTATAATCATGCTTTGAATGAGGAGTGATATCGAAAGTTTTAAGAATAAAATTTATGTTTTGTTAAGTTCCATAATTCATCAGCTTCTAGTTGTTTCTAGTTGTTATCACTATACAAATAATGTTAGAATATTGGTAGGTTTGGTTATTAAATTTATTCAATGGTTTATATCTAATGCAAACTTAGATTTTTTATCACACTACACTAAATTTATAGTACGAGATGTAAGGTAGTTATAGGTTTAATTCAGTGGACAATAAAAAAGGGCATCATGGCCTTCCTGGTAATAAACCAGTGTTAATGATTTTGGCAATTAGTTTGTTTTACCCTGTTATAAATCATACTTATTATCTTTTTATTCATGCACTTTACTTCAAATGCTTTAAAAATGATGCACAAATCATATTAAAGGTCTTATGTCTACAAATTTACATTGAAAATCTTAACAATTTTTACAGATCAAACCACTGGATACATTAATATGTACAATTAATCTGGGGAAGAAAATCAAACAAACAAACAAACAAACAAACAAACAGTTTTTTGAAACGAAACATTGTATGAAAGAAATTTAAAAATTGAAGTTCATGATTAAGGTTTTTTTTTTTAAATGTTAATAAATTTGTAGAGGGAAAAAATCTATGCACGACACTACTTCAAAATCAAGGCATTTTGAATAACAACAATACCTCAAAGTCAAAGCATTTTTTTGAATAAAATAGTATATTTAGCTTATTGATAATTATTAACCTCTTTTTTCTTCAAAACATGAAGTAGCTCACATTATATGTTTATAATCATGAGCAAATTATAACACTGATTTAGCTTATTATACTAAGAAAAAAAGTACATCATTGTTTCCACGTCTCTTTTATATCCACTCGTTTTTCAAATGTAACGGATTTTTTTTAGAAATCTCTGAATATGTTATACAACTTTTATGAGTTTGTCCTTTTCTTTAAAAATGTTTGTTTCTCTTTTTGTGTACATAAATTGTAATATTGTACTCTAATTGAGTTGAACATGTACACCGCAATGGTTATTAATATACACAAAACCCACATTTTATATGTCATCTTTTTCAGATCTTAATAGCAAATACAAAGCAGATGATGACAATGAAATAAAACCAGTAGACCCTAAGGAAACTGAAAAACAAACTGCTGTGGTGTATCCATATGATGAAACAAAGAGCAATGGTTTGTCAAATATCTATAGCTTTAGTTATATCTGTTAGGATGTATGATGTACTCAATTTGCGACGAACGTGCCCTCAGGCACGTCAGATCATGGGGTTTCGATGTCTTCAATCGGAACGTAGCTCAAACCGAATAACATCTTAATAAATAGTACACGATTTAATCATTTAAAGCTCACACATTATGCCGGTATATGTTGAAAGCGTTTATGTTCCAGTTTAATTGCAAAGATCGTTAAATAATTGCATGATAAATTAAACAAATGAATATCATATTTACGAGAAAAAAATGTAAAAAATTGCACTACTTTGTCCTACCTCGTTCCATACTAGTGTGTACTGTGTAGAAATATGTACTATGTTAAATTGTACGACCGAGTTATCCCGCTTAACTTTCGGATAAACAGTAGCCAATACTTTCAGAGATTTGCGACGTAACATAAATTGTGAAAAAATCTGAAGGAGAACAATGTATCCGGGCAGTGAGACGAAACAGTCTAGTACATAATCCTGGGATTTGGTTTCAAAGAAATTTCTTTCACAATTCTTTATAACATGCATTTATTCAGCGAAGTTTTAACTATATAAATAAGACCCATACCATAAAAGTTATAAAAACATTGAAATCGAGTTTTTTTATTCAAATATTATTCATTTAAAATCGTTGAATAACATCAAAGAATATAATGAGCGAAAGAAAAGCATCGACACAAGTCTGATTTTCTTTCGTCGTCAGGTTTCTGACATACTGAACTTCGATCTATTTTCTAGACAAATACGATCCGTACTACCAAGATATTTTAATACTGTTTAGCTATAAAACTAAGATATGTCTCAAATTGAACATTTTTATAGGGATAAAAATGCATTATGTCATTTTTCCATATTAAATAGACTATTGTGATAATAACAGGCACGGATCCACCGGGGGGGGGGGGGGGTTAAGGGACTGAAGCCCCCCCCCCCCCAAAAAAAAAAAAAACTTAACAAATCGCGACCTATTTTATAGTCTGCATAATATGTGTGCACTGTTCCACCACATGGTTTTTAAATGCCCCCGATTCTTGAAGTTGATATTACTTTCTTATAAAATAATTGATGTGTGACCAAAACATGAACAAATAAATAAAAAAAATTGCAAGGTTTCATGTCACTCGTATATTAAAAAAGACTGGCGCCAAATGAACTTTTTAGCTCACTATAAGAAGAATAGTGGTGCTATCCTCATCTTGGTGCCAGTGTGTCAGTGTCCGCGTTGTCATAACACTTTGTTTAAAGACTTGGGGCAACGTCCAGCTTGTAAAGCATCGAATTTCATGAACCACTGAAATATTTGCTTGTAACTTCACAAATACGTTTGAGATCCTTCGTAATAGGAGATGTAAAACCAATAACTAAAGCATACCTTTTTATAGACCATTTTGAACCAAATTAATCTTGCTTAATTTTTCTCTTGTAATATCATTGCTCCGCGTCCACATGCTTCATGTAAATGTCTGCCACTTAAGTCCTGAACCCCTCGAAATACTTTCTTCAAACTTAACTAACTCAAATATAAATTTCATCAAGTATATGTGAAGTAGAGGTGAAAAATCCATACCTGCACAGTGCCAATGTCAGACAACTTTGTGTATTCTGTATAATTTCAAATTTGACTCAACTGTTCATCTTATCAATTATATGTGCAAAACCTATGCTGCCATTGTGCTGGCTTCTGGACAAGATTGATTTTGAATGTCCAGCATTTGTGGTTAGCGCAATAAATCCTTTACTCCATAAGAGATTCTCTCCAAACAAGACACAAAATTTCAAGTCAGTAAGGTGCAGAACCCATATCCCCGCTATACTTGCTCAGGGTTAAGGTTTACAATGAAGTTAAAATTTCACATTTTATCGTGTCCTCTCTATAAATAGTAAAGCCCTTGAAGCATTTTTCAAGGGCTTACCTCAACAAGACAATGTTCAGAGCCCATTTTGTCGTTGTAGTCGCTGAAAGACAAGGTCAAGTGCCAGACGATTTCGTGTCCAGGTCAGCATTTAAGTCAAATTGATATAACCTATATACCCTGAAGCATTTTCTTCAACTTGACCCAAATATAAACCTAAATGAAAAGAATCATTACAGATCGAATATCAGACATTTTCGTGTCCATTCTATAAATTCCTAGTATACCCCTTGAAGGAATTTCCTTTAACTGGTCTCACATTGCCCCCTCTTAAATTATGATAAATAGGCTATTATAAATGTATGTGTAATGTATAATTACTAATGGTAGGATAAGTTGGTCCGACAATTCATCTTAATGTGATTCATGTTGTATTTAAGGTTGCAAAGAGGTTGGACACAAGGATGCTATATTACGACATATAACAAAGGAACATTTTCAGGGAACTGGAGTCTATGAGAATAAAGAGGGTAATATTTTAAAAAGATAAAATTTCAATTATATCTTCTCTTATAATGTTCGGAAATGGTAAAACATGACATAAAATTGCTTACAAGGTGTTAATGAAATTAAAATATCGAAATTACAAAGTGAGCACGTATCCACATCCCCTATTTTCATTCATTCTTAAAACACAAACAGAGCAATATGCATTTCTGATGCACATTTTTACAAGGGCTTACTTGTTGTAATAAAATAATTACAGTCAATTGAAAATGTTGTAAAAAGGCATTTGTCATTATTGAATTGCGTAAATAGATACATACCGTTCATTTCTAATCTTACAAACGAAAGCGAAACATTTGTAGTATATTTTTCTCCTTTTTTTGTAGAACAGGGATCGGAAATCAAAACAAAAGAAAACCAGATATGTCTAAGATCAGAGGACCAATCGTTATCTTCCATGGATCCAGATAAAGGTTTCTAACCAATTTTACTGAAAACTCGACTGAACTGATTAATAAAACTATTTTGAACGAAAACTAGTTTTGTAATAAAAATTATTCGCCACAGTAATTAATATCATGATATCAATATACTTAGGAACAGCAATTAGTATCATGATATCAATAAACTTATCAGACAAATATTAGTTTCTACAGACTTTATATCAGTTCGATAGTCCCCCCCCCCCTCCGCAAATAGTCATATGATATTTCTTAATTGTCTGTTAGTCTGTCCTCTCTTTCCGGTTCATGATATGGCCATTCAGGCATGGATTGTCAATTAATGTTATATAAATATGTAGCACAATGTCTCAAAGTATCTTAAGCTAGACCCAAATTAGTAGCTTGAAGGTCAATTCAACAGTTGTCCGGTCAACAATATTGACATATCTAAAAGTACTGTTTAATAATTTGGCATAGAGGGTCTATATGTGTTTTGACTTTTGTGAAAGGAGATTTATTATTGTTCTGGTCAACCCTGTAAAATTAAACGTTGCAACGCTTTTCAATAAATCCTCCTGCTAAGAATAGCACAAACTACGATATTCAGCTCTTTTCTCAATATTATTGTTTGCTTATCTTTCTGTTATAAGTGCCGCATGTGATATTAGTAAGATAAGGTATTTTTTTATTTTAAGGCTTCTATAATCGCAGTGGAGTTAAAATCAATCATATTTTACGTTTAAAAATATGAAATATCAAACTTTACACAGGTACAAATTTAACGAAGACAACATGAAAATGATCAAAATCCCGGGTCATTCAGGATCTTTCCTCATATATCAAAATTGCACCTGTTGGTACCTTTGTCATTTATTCGTTGCTTTTTGGTAAACTGATAACATTAGAAAGTGTTTCTTTACTCTGTTTATCATAGCTGAGCACCATATGCTCTTTAAAACTCTTCGTCTCAGAAACTACAATGCCAAGACCTTAGATATTTGACATGTAGCATCATCTTACAGTCTTATACATAAGTTATATATACATAATGTCTGTGGAATCAAAAATGACCCTGCCCTATTGGTCAATTATTTAACATAAACATTTAAAAGAAAATGCATTAAAGTGTTAATCTATAAAACTCAAATGCCTGTTCAATAAAATATCTTAAAGGCATGCATCTGAGAAACTACAATGCTTAGAGGAGCTTAGATATATAACATGTAGTATCACCTTGCTAAAAAATTATATTAATCAAGCCGCTAGGGTCAGACATGGCCCTGTTTACTAAGGTTTACTTAGTTAACATAGGCAAGGATGTTATACATCCGATCCTTGAAAATCGTTTGGCACGACATTATTATTGTTTGTGGTAGATTTTATTCTTTCTATTTGTATTGTTAGTTGTGTGCTTCCAGTATTCCTTACTTTAATATCGTTTAATCACCCTTAGGATATGTTGTATGTTTTTAAATGTGTCTTTTGACGTATTATCTTTGATATGCAGGCTTCATCATCTCATATCCTCTACAAAATTTCTATTTTGTTTAGTTTCGCCAATTATTTTCTCCTTTCGGACACACTCATTTTTTCTAAAGGTACCATACGTCGCCTTTATGAAAGTATCACATTGATGAATCCTTGATAATTCCGTATTAACACATTTACGGATATCTTTAAACTCGAAATTTCACCATTTTCATTTCTGTTAAAACCGGTGCTGGGGAGTGGACGGTGACTTGTACTTTCCAGTAGTTGTCAGCAGGTGTCAAGTGCTGTGTGGCAGCTGTAAAAAAGTTGCCCCGTACTTCACTTCAGAATTCTCTTGTAATTTTGTTGTGATGAATGCTTCAGAGGGATCACTTTGTTTCAAGATTTTGGAGCTGTAACGCATAGTATCAGTAGAAATTGAGATTAATTGCAGTATACATTTTGGTATGCATTCTTATAAACCAGTTACGATGCCTTTGAACAAAGGCAGAAATTTATCAGTGCTTCTTAACATTTTATGGGCTCTATTTATCGTTTCATATAATATGATGTGACATTTATGAAGTTTTCTTTATTTGGATTTACTTAAATTTATCTTTAATTTTCAGGTACCTCTGAATTGCAAATTATTGACTGGACAAAAGTTTTCTTACAATTATCAAGATCGTTTTCCCCAACACACTGGAAATTGTTTGCATTAGAATTACTCAGTAAGTCCGTATAACTTTAATATCCGCCTCAACTTAGTTAAACGCTAAAGTAATCATGTAATAACTATTAAACATAGTTTTTCTTGTCTACCAAAAAATGTTGTTTTTGAAATAAATGTCAAGAACCTTTCATTTATCTTTAAAAGGATAAACAATAGAAACTTGATAGAGTATTTCTGTTGTAGTCATACCTTCTTTTATAATGTTCAGAAATAAAAATATGTTGTGAAATATGTTGCATTTGACTTCAGGCAATTGTCAGGAGATGGCTAGAAGCGTTGATAAAACAGTTAATGAAATTGAGCTTGAAGCAAGGAATCAGCATACAGAAGGTTGGGTCTTTCATGCGTATTTTAAAGTATTCAATAAATGGCTTAACAATCTTGGAAGCACAAGAGCAACCTTTGAACATATCAAAGATGCTGCTACAAATGCATTTGATTCAGTAGAGGATAAAAACCGGATTGATTCTATCAAAAGGTTTGATTTTGATTTTAATACGCCCGAAAACAATTCGGCGTTTGATGTTACGCACCTGGTCGTCCGTCCTAAGTAAGCGGTGTTAGAATCCGGTCTGTATATTTTGAAGCGATGAAAGGATATTGAAATTTGAACAGGCTCAATCCAACCGAAACTAAAACAGTTTCAGTTTTGCCGTGTTGGGCGTTTTTAGGGATAATTTTGTTTTCTTTCCAAATCAGTGTTATTTGTGTCGTGCAATAGTTGTTTAAAAGTCTCCATGTACATTTAATCAAAGTTATATTTTCGATTCCTCAAGATCGTTCAGCACGACATCACTGTTGTTAGTTTATGTTTTTGGTACTTTCATTTAGCTTTTGATCCAGTGGAATGAAATTTAAATTAATTGGCAGATTACAGGTCAGGTGTGTTCCAGAAATCATAATTGGCTCCGTCCCGGAGATTACTTGATTGATTTAGACATATATTAACGGTGGGTAATCGATTTAGACATATTTGGAATATTATCCCGTTCTTAAAATAAAATGGATTTAAAGCTTGACGAGGTAACAAAATAAAAAAAAACACATTTACATCTTTTAGTCTTTGAATATTCTTTTTGCACGGAACATTGAAATGTTTAAGGAATTCATATAGAACTTTATAAGAATTGTTAACGGTCTTTTATTAGTTGGAATCGAAAAACAAATTTCACATGCCTATAGCTAAGATATTAAGCAGGTAGCCATATGATTTTTATAAATAATGCAACTTGGGTCAAATTTTGTCCGCCTCGGGGTCACTTGATTATAGGTGAACACATTTAAGTCTTATTATGTGAAACTATAAAGGTCAGAGCTTAGATATTTGGCATGTAGCATCAATTTGTATATTTCAACATATAAATATTTTTAATCGTGACCCTCAGTTTAAAATTGGCTCTGCCCCGGGAGTCACTTGCCTTACGTAGTATAAATCAAACACATGCCATCTTTTTGGGATAAATGCTTTGCCTCATATAGCCATACTTGTCATGTAGAATTTTCTAGTAGACCTCTGAATGGTATTTTGAGTCATGCATTTCGGGTAAAAATGCGTCCTCCTTCATGGTCATATAGTATCATAAGGATAGCCAAGAAAAAATCATTTTATAGATAAGCTTCTTAAGTTCTTAAAGTTTTTTTTTTAAAAAAATGAAGTATCTTTCCTTAATTTTGATTACTTAAAAAATTATGTATGTATAAAAAAATAGATCAGGTAGGATGATATAGAGATGATATTGATCGAGTTTATGTTTTATTGAACGAGTTGAATAAAATTATAATATGCGTGTTTCTGGTGTGGATAATATATCATATCACATCGGACTGAGGGAACTGCTCAACCTAGACAACGCCTCAGTTGACATTATCTTGTCAAGGGTGAAAATTGTCGGATGTGATGTTTATTTTATCATACCGAGCAAATCAAAATTCAATTTATAAATCTAAAACATTATACCTTATAAACTAAAACTCGTAACCGGTATGGGCTTGAAGGTCGTTTGGTAATGCCAGAATCCCTAATGTGCGGTCGCATTATGTAAGTTCAGACTTATGTCCTCTGACATCACATGAGGTTATGTTATAAATAAACCACACAGGGTATGACAATATTTCGACAGGCAATTGATCAAACGAGATCAGTAGATTCAGAAGTAAAACTATTCAAATATGATGTTTTATTTGTCGCATACAAAACAAGAACTGTTAAAATAAAATACGAATCTACGGTTACATTTTCCACACATTTTCCCGGGCTTAAGCCGCTTAATTCATGTATACGAAATATTATTTCGCAATTACGAAATATTAATTCGTTTTATACGAAATATTTATTTGTAGATGTGACATATTAATTCGTAAAAACGAAATATTATTCCGTAATAACGAAATATTTATTCGTAAATACGAAATAATATTATTTTTTAACAAATAAATTCTTTTAATAAACGGAATAACAGAAGGCACAATAGCCTCTTTCTTGACGGCTCAATAACTTGACAAGTATGACATTTACTGTCTGTATATTTAGTGAGGACCTGGCCATTAGATGACCCCTATTGATGTTTTGGTCAGTCGTCATTGGTTAATGTCTGAATGACCTAGATTTTCCAGCTATATTACCAAGCCCTAAAGTATGTTGCATTTTATTTTCAAAATAAAAAAACACTAAAAGCTACCTTAAAGATGGAGCTCGCCTTCCGATGACAGAATAAAAGAAAATTGTCTTTTATATTTAAGAGTTTTGGTAATATTTATAAAGAAGGCTTTGAAACTAAATTCTTGACTAAATACAAGACAGGTCCACAGAGTATAAATTATGATTTCTTTTCTTTCTAAGTCTTACATGTCTTAAACTTCAACGCAAAGGTTTAACAGTACTATGTGTCGAAACTTAAAGTAATCATCCGTTGAGTGAGTTGCCTCGATATCCGTGATAGTACAGACGCTTGGAAAATGTTGTTAAAAATTGGGGTTAAGGGGTCCAAATGCTACACAGACAATAAATGATTTGTTTCGTTCTGTCGATTTGATTGTGTTCTGAAGCAAGTATCATGTTTGAATGATCACACAGTGTCCATACATAAATTTAAGGAATATATTAGTTCGTGAAAATCTTGAAGCAAACTTTGCTAAATAAATGTGTATGATAAAAGAAAGTAATGATATAGCCTGTAAACATTTTATGTGTTTGCCAGCTTTTTGTAATATGTTTTTGAAAAAACGAAAAAAAGGGATATTTTGGATTGAGACTGACTTCACTCTCAAAAACCCTGTTTACTCAAATATAACAACTTGAGAGCCATTAGGCTTATGATCATTATATTACGTGGCTAGCGAGGTTAATCCACGCTTCTAGATGACCCCTTTTGATTGTGAGGTTAGTCGGTCCTATGTCAAGCTCATTATGATTTTCAATTTAAACTCTATTTCGGGCAAATTACTTAATTATAATATTTTGCTTGCTGTCCTCATTACTGCATGTAGGTATCGCAAGTGTTAATAATTACTAGAAAGCCTCTTCAAATACTGTGATCAGTAGGTTAAATGTCAAGGTCACAATGTACTTTAAACATTATAATACATTAAATTTCTTGAGATCTTGTAAACACGCTGTCTCATCAAATTGTTAAGAGGTTGTCCATGCCCAACCTAAAATAAACTCTGGCGAAACGCGGCGGGGGATATAGTTTTAGTGTTTGTCCGTCCATCCCTCCGTCCCTCTGTCGTTCCATCCTACATTTTTGTCCGGATCATAACTTGAAAACTAAATAACAGATTGACTTGAAAATTGAAATATGAATAGATGGCACCTAGGATAACGTACATTGTCAAAGAACCATAACGCTATTTAGTCCGTTTTAAAGTTATATCCCTTTATTTAATTTTACAATAATATATGACTTGAAACTTGAAATATGAATAGATGGAAACGTGGAAGGAAATTAATATTCCGTAATTACAAATTAATATTTTGTAAAGAAAAATTAATTTTTCGTAAAAACGAATTTGTATTTCGTAATTACGAACTATATTTTGTAAAAAAAGAATTAGGTCCAGGGCAAAATTGGTGGAAAATGTCACCTAAAAGCTTTTCATTGACGCACTTTGGCGCTGGAACACTTAACTTAAGTGATAGACGAAATGTTTGTTTAACGCATATGACATCATGCGTAATGTATACATGTACACGTCTATGAGAGAAAAATGTCTCTAAGTTTATAATCTACATTTATTGTTTTCTATTTGTTTTCTTTCAGGAACCCCCCTATGAAAGTGGCAACGCCAATGTGTCCCCCTTTAGAACCTTGCAAATTAGATCGAACATTTGGGAGCAACTATGGACATTCTCAACAGTATATGGCCTTACATGATAATGAAGCACAAGGCAACTCTAATTGCGAACGAGGAATATATGTCAGTTCGATTCAAACTCGTAGTTACCAAATGGCTCATTGTCCGTACTGTTCTAGGTATACTACAAACGAAATATCAAATCAGGAGAATACTTTAGTACGATTAAACAAAAACAGTATTGAAACTAAATACAATGATATTGACGAACGAGAGCAAATAGGAAAACGAAAGAAAGACCAACCAACTACTCAGCAAAATAAACGGATAGCAAATGATAAGTATATTGTGGAAAATGCCAAACAAAATCTGCTTTTTGATATCATGCCAATTCGTCAAAATGATTATGACATGTTTATGGATTTTGTTATAGACCTTATTTCAAACGAATGTCATGTAAGCCAAGAAGCAGTATTGTCCATTACATACAAAGGTTTCTGTAAAGCCCACCAAACAAAAACAAAGGAAAATGAAACCTTATATATAATAAAATCGGGAAAGACAAGTCTCTGTATTGGAAAAGAGGTATTCGAGGATTTAGCTGTTTACGGTAATATCGCAAGACCCAAACTGCTGAAATATCTGGAGGAAAAGAATATTGACTGTGATAACTCCACGTTATTGTTCATCAAATTTGAACAAATGAAAGTATGCTTTATTTGTTTATATATTTTGATCTGAATGCTATGCTCGCTTAAATCTGAAGTTAATAAATCGTATAGTAATTAAGTACATGGCTTCTTTAAAATGTTTCACTTAATTAAATTATATTCACTTACTACAGTTATTTAGTTTGTTATACACTATAAATGGACCTAAATGATCTGTCAAAGAATTATTCAATGACCTGATAAAACATATCGGTAATAGTTTTTCCATTCCTTAATCCAAACATGTACACAATGTTAACCAGCTATATACACATATTAATACATGTACATTTCAGAATAAAGATGTTAAAAGCGTTAGGAGCGATGCTGAAAAAGAAAATAATGCTGAGCAAAATTTCCAAGTTAATGGTCAAAATGGATTATGCCCTGACATGAACGAATCTGAAGAACCATTTAGCATCAAAACAAGTCTCAAACAAAACTCCTCTGGTCAGTTATTTGAACCTGAAGAAAAGGTAGGGACAACACAGGTTGAACATGGACAGAAAGAATTAGACAACAAAGCAAAGAGTGAACAAGAAACTGTGACAAATAACGGGAAAGATGACAAAGATGCAGGCATAGAAAAGGAATTAGAAAGCATTAAAGAATCGTTTTTCCCGGATGGTGATGAAACATATGATTTACCGACTGCAGATAATGTAGCCGATATATTGAATAATTTTATGGATCAGGACTAAAACAACAGTCCTAAAGATAGCACGTGCCTATCTCGGGGGGGGGGGGGGTAAACTGTCAAGTCACTTTATTGTAAATACTTGCTATATGATACTTTACTGTTGAAACTTTTATTTTTCATAAGGATAATAAGTTGGTACAAGCACATTTCTTACAACTTTAAAGTACTCTATTTAATCCTGATGATTATTGAAAATGTTTACGTGGTTTATACACTGAATATATACCATAATTAATTAATAGACTTTAGAATAGTTTACTTAATAGTTTACTTAAGAAAGAGAAAACATATTACTTAAGACGGAGGAAACAATTTACTTAAAGAGGAAACAGTTTATGTAAAAAAGAGAAGAAAAAAAAACAGTTTACTTAAGAAAGAGAAAATAGTTTTGTTAAGAAGGTAAAAGTGTTTACATAGAAGGAGAACACATAATTGGAATATTGTTTTCAAACAACTATATTGGTTTATTAGTTAAGGTTTTATAAGCAAACATAAACACGCATATATTCATGACAATATGATCCTTTTTATTCAACCCATCGCCTAAATTTATTGCTACATAATGTTTTTTTATGTTTTTGTACATATTTAGTTATAGCATCCATACAAGTTCGTCCTTGCTGTGACTCTTCCCATGTACAAAATCATAAATAACGGGCATAGAACTAAGAAAAATAAAAATATATGTTTAAGTCATCTCATGAGCTAAACACTTTCTCTTTTCGAGGTTAAAACAAACAATAGATGTTTTTTTTTATCAAAATATAGAATTTAAGAAAAGTGTGTCCTAGATTTGTTCTGGAACCCTAAAAATCCTGACAAATAGTGGTATATATAGTGGTTATCTTAGTATCAATTTCCACTTATGGACGGTAATCATTAATTGAGTTCTTTAAACGTTTATTGGTACTATTTCAATTGTTTATATATATTTATTGTCACATCATCGAAAGACTATAATACGTATCCCTGGTCATTGAATCTGGGTGTTTCATTTATAATCTTCGACATTCGTCAACACGACTGTTGTAATTTTAAATCCTTTTATATGATCGCTTTCTTGTTAAGTTCTCTCAGTTATTGTTTTTTTAATACTAACCTTAATATATGTTACTACTTTTCTAAAGCAATATGCCTTCAGATGAACAAAAATATTTCTAGAATACCAAGCTAAGGAAACATAAATTGAGATGATTTTTTCAAAAAGTACAAAAGATTCAATTTATATGTAATAATGTTATGCTATTTGTGATAGACGACTTGTTTGCAGTTTTATTTTCACTGCGTGACTAATGCCGTAGGGCTATTTATGCATATGATGTCCTCTTTTTTATACGCCCGTTTGAAAAACGGGACGTATTATGGGAACGCCCCTGGTGGGCGGGCGTCCGGGCGGCGTCCAATTTTGTCCGGAGCATATCTCCTACATGCATGGAGGGATTTTAATGAAACTTCATAGAAATGTTCACCACTATGAGGAGCAGTGTCGCGCACATGAACCAGGTCTCTAGGTCAAAGGTCAAGGTCATACTTAGAGCTCATTGAAAAATGCTTGTCCGGAGCAAAACTTCCACATGTAAAGAGGGATTTCAATATTACTTGACACAAATGTTCACAATTGTGAGGCGGAGTGTCGCGCGCAAGATTCAGGTCCTTGCGGCCAAGGTCAAGGTCACACATAGAGGTCAAAGTTCAGATAAAAAAATGAAGATGTGTATATGGACCATTTAGTCATCATTTATTGAGGGATTGTAACACAAATGGTCATTATCAAGACTATGGCTGTGATACATATAATTTAGGTCAATATATACAAGGTCAAGGCCACTAAAGATGATGAAATATCCAGATTTTGTCCAGAGCATATCTCCTACACGCATGGAGGGATTTTAATGAAATTTCATAGAAATGTTCACCATTATGAGAAGCCATGTCACGCACATGAACTAGGTCTCTAGGTCAAAGGTCAAGGTCACACTTAGAGCCCATTGAAAAACGCTTGTCCGGAGCAAAACTTCCACATGCATAGAGGGATTTCAATATAACTTGGCACAAATGTTCACCATTGTAAGGCGGAGTGTCGCGCACAAAATTCAAGTCCCAGCAGCCAAGGTCAAGGTCACACATAGAGGTCAAAGTTTAGATAAAGATTTGAAGATGTGTATAGGGACCATTTAGTCATCATTTATTGATGGAATGTAGCACAAATGGTAACTATCATGACTACAGGTGTGACACATTTAATTTAGGTTAATATTTGCAAGGTCAAGGTCACTGGAGATGATTAAATATCCAGATGTTGTCCGGAGCATATTTTCTACATGCATGGAGGAATTTTAATATTACTTTATAGAATTGTTCACCACCATGAGACGTAGTGCCCTGCACATGAACCAAGTCTCTAGGTCAAAGGTGAAGGTAACAGTTAGAGCTCATAGAAAAACGCTTGTCTGGAGCAAAACTTCTACATGCATAGAGGGATTTCAATATAATTTGGCACAAATGTTCATCATTGTCAGACTGAGTGCCGTGCATAAATTTCAGATCCCTGCGACCAAGGTCAAGGTCACACATCCTGTGCATATCTTCCCTACTGATTTGTTTTAAGGTTCATTTAACAACACAGTGCCAAGAATAAAAACTTGCTTGCTAGATAACACTTATCCATAATGCCCCCATCTCCATCTAAAGCTTTCGTAAACGGGCGTATTTTGTGACTATGGCACCCTTGTTGATGATTAAGGTGGATTGTTATGACCGTCCGCAACGTGAATAGAACTTATTTTTTCACTTCATCATATTCACACTCCGCGCCGCCGGAAATAGATAACACTGCACTGCAAAATAAACATAACTTTATCTACAAATATTATCAAACCATCTTCCTGTATGTACTTATTTTAAGTGATAATAAATGTATTTCTATTGACACATACAAGAACACAAGTTATTTCTATAATGAATTTAATATTGCTTGTGAAAATTCAGTATCTTTAAAATCATGCATGTTATAATAGAGTCATATTTCTGTTAATTAAATTTGTTTTAAAGAATTCAATGCAAATGTCAAGACGACTGTCTTACATATTTTGATTTTAAAAAAGGAAAAGAAAGGAATAGATGCTATTATAACAAAACATCTTTAAAGATAAGGTTATCTGGAAGCCAATCATTAAACGCAAGTATTGTTAGTTTTGTAATAAATACCTTTAACCTTTTAAACATGTGTAACTTTTTTAAAATCGACTTCACTAATGTTGCAAAAAATACTTGTACTCTAAAATACATATTCACATTTTTCTGTTCGAATTTGTCGTTAATGAATGCTTACTTTACATGCTGCATTTCACTTTTCTTAGTTCGGTGTACTTACTTATCTATATGCAAATTCAATCAACGAACATAAAGGGAAAAATAAAAACCAAGTAAAGATTTTATTAACAAGAAAAAAACAAAACAAAAAAAAACAACAATAAAAAATCATATTTAAATTAAAGTGATGCTTAATACCTTGAAAATTACATTTTAATAATGCAGTTTTAACTTATTTCTTCCTTAATTTAATCTTTAGTTTTGCTAGTTTTTATATATTTTAAGCACACTCATATCTTACTAGGGAACCATACTTTTATGGAATGGCATGACCGCGTTTACATGGAGGATTCAAGAAAACCGCTATAAATCCTTTTACTTTTCATTATCATTATGTCCAATGTAAATATTGTGTTATATTTAAGCCGATGCTATAGAGCCTGAACGAAAAACAGTTAAACCGGAAATAACGATTGCATCAAGAATCTACAAATTGCTGTGTCTTTGAAACAATGGCACGATAATGTTACATCGAAGATTCCATGATCACTCTTCCAGACTTTAAATCCAAAATAAAACACTATTTTAATCAAATAATTTAAATGTTGACTTCTGCTTTATAGGATGGTAGGATCGTGAATCTGGATTTTATCTGCCATTATGGCCAATAAAAAATCAATCAAACGTTTCTGAAGCATATATTATTTCTAGACGGCGCACTGTCAGTTTCCCATTTTCCATATTATAAAGACGTAAAAGACACAAAAATTCATTTCATTTAATGCAATCACCAGATTTAACTAAAACTCCATAAACAATGCCGTTAACTTATAACACTAAATAAATAATGTTTTTAAAAAAATCTGGAAACAAAGTGATCCCTCGGAGAGCATTAATCGCATCAAAATTACAAGAGAATTGCAGACTCGGTTGCAGACTCAAGTTGTTGTGTGTTTTTGGCACGCGCGTGAAGTTGTACATTCAAATACAATATTATAATAAAATGACTCTCATTGAAAATATCTAGCTGATTCTCATTTTCTTGTGCATTAAAACGCATTTCCATTTGACTTATTTCAATAGAAGGTAAACCCTTCATTCATTTAACAAAAACGTCATTCTCATTAAACGGAAAAAAACCCTATCTAATATAGCAATAATATTTTGTTCGGGAATATTTAATTCTGTTTAATATGTACATTTTTCATGTGTGTTATATAACGGAGACATTATATATTACAACATTTTCGGGAATCAGCCATATAATCATGGAACCAATATGATTAAACTGTTGATAAAGATTTAAACCTTTAGAGGAATATTTTACTTTAACCTATATTCATTTTATCGGCAAGTAGAAACCAATGGTAATACACTTTTGAGTAAGTGATTGCCCTGAATAAATCGGTCTCCATTACGCTACCCAGAAGCCTAAAAAATCAAAATTCTATTCCCCTCCACCACGGCAAGTTCAAATGATGTTAAAAATGACGTTTAGATTTTGTGTGAACATGTTTCTCTAGGCTAACAAAAGTTTAAAGACGTAAAAAGTATCGGAATTTGAGACCAAAACCTGCATATGTGACTATATCATCATAATTGTAGATATCCACATTGAAAGTTTAAAATATCTGTACAAAAATAGGAAACATTAGCGACAAATAAAAATAAAAATGAAACGTTAGCAAC